CCTTCTTCCGATGTGCGAGATCCTTTTAAGAAAGATCGGACAAGCTCGTTCCAAAAATCTACTTTGAAAAGCACTCGGGGCGACCCTTTGAGAAGCAGAATTTTTCCCTGGGTAATATCGCCCGTAGGTAGGTACCTAATGCATTTCTACAGGTTTATATACTCTTCTTCCACCTCCAAGCGAGTCTTTCCTCCCCTACCCCCAACCACCACGGTAGTAACAACCTGCCACCCGCTTTCGTCCCTTTCTCCTTACCTTTTTCGTTCGTCTCCCTGCTTCCCCTCTCCTCTTTCTCTCTGTATGTATCTTCCTCCGCACCCCTCTTAGCTTCTCTCTTTCTCTCTCTCTCTCTCTCTCTCTCTCTCGCTCGTTTATTTCTACTCTTTTCCTCCGGCCGTTTCAACTTTTCATTCGGTTCTCTCCTCCTCCGTTAAAACAAAATGAAAGGCAAGCCCGGTTGGTATCCATAAAAGAATGAATAAACGTAGATTGAAAGGGCATAAAAGAGCATGTGCGCGTATATACATATAGCACGAAACCAAGATAGTATGTATGTAAGTGCGCGCACGTGCGCGAGCGAGTCGAGAGCTGACGTATTTATACATTTGTGTATGTATCTACGTATTGAAGAGAACAAATTAAAATCCGCAATCGCGGTAGTACAATGTAAATTTGTTTTAACGAACGTAGGGTAATTGAATTTCTCTGCGTGGGTTACTTACTTAGACACACGCTGATTATATAGAAAATTTTGAAATAATTTTAGAATTATTAAAATAGTAAAAATGGAGAATCACAAATATTTACTGTGAAGATTAAAATGGTTTCGTTAATTATCAATTATCTTTTCTGTAAATTTCAGAAATCTTTATTATCGCTGATTGCAAATCAAAATATTTGCTTGCTTTGCAATATCATAGAAAAGTTTATTGCTGTAAGAGAGAGACACACTATGTCTTTATTAAATTATATTTCGTAAAGCTGGTATTCCAGATGAAACCGGGGTTATGCAATGTATGCGTCATCTTCTTCGCCGTCTTTTTATTCTGCCGGCGGTTTATGGTGTTTGGAAATAATATCGTTTGCGGTTAGAGATCCATCGTTATAATAATGTACATTTTGTGTAAAATAGGCATAAATATTAGATTATATTATAAGTTTTTATAGGCACGTGAAACTTTTGTTATTGATATTATTTAAAATTGTATAAAGAATTATTTTCTCGACTGAACTATATGAAAGATTTTTTATTAAACGAAAATATTTTTACAGACTATTTTTCTTGTGCAATTTAAATAATGTATAACAACAAAAGTAGTTAATTACATTGCCTACACACAGGAAGTTTATGATCCATTCCAGTATATTTCTGTTATGTGATACCGCATATATACTTCCACATATTATAACTAATATAATTTATAAGTTATAGAATATATTACCAAAAATTATTCTTTTAAAGTAGGTTATCATATTGATATGCTAAGTTTTGATAGCAAATGATTTCAATAGATAAAATCGTGTATACTCAAGTAATTCTGTTCATGCGAATCGAAAATTAGAGTTATGTACGCGTCGAATAAATTATCATAAGGGGTTTGCTCTATCTTGGTATGGCGACAAATTCAAAAACTTCGTCATATTAAAGTTTTACCGACTAATTTTAACAGGTGAATAAAAAAGAGTAAGAAAAAAATAAAATTCGGAACTGTATCTGAAAAATTAAGAAACACATTCGCGAATGTTGTAATAAATATTTTTTAAATAACTAAATATAGTTATAGATATTTAAAAAAAAAATATATGATACACAGATATTTATTATTCCGGACATCTTTTTTAAACATGTGTTAGATATGACCAATATATAATATTCTGTATAAGATAATAAAAAATGATCATGTAAAAATTTTCAAATCTTCTTGCCGCTGTTTAAAGATATATAAAGATCAGAACTATTGTGTGTTAAAACATATCAGACTTTTTGAAACTATGAAAACTATCAAGAATTGCTAAGAAAAATGGAAATATAAAATTACATAGTTTTCGAAAATGAAGTGTCAACGATGTGATTAAAAAACTGCTTGAAAAATATGGAAGAGTCGAAACTATCATGAAAACTTGGAACTATTAAAACTATGTGAGAAATATCGAGAATCGCCAAAGCAATGATGGATATAGTTAGCACACAGCATATTTCTCGAAAATAAAGTTCCAACGATGAGATTAAAAAATTGTTTAAAAATATGTGAAGGCTGGAATTTTCGTTAAAACGCACAACAAAAGTTATAGAATTCTTCGAGAATTATAGAATTTTATAGATGAAATGATGTTTTTCAAAAAGTGACATGCTACGAAAAGCTAATATCTCATTTTTTTCAGATGTGATTTTTTTTAGCTAATTTGATAAAACTTTTTCTGAGACCTATCAGGAATTGTAGAATTATTGCAGTTGCAAATAGAACTGTTGATCAAACTTTGGAAATAAAGTGCTAATTTCACAGAAACTTCAGAATCAATCAGTCTCTGACTTTGGTACATAAAAGCTTTTTTTGAAGATCATAAATTTAAAAAAATAATTATTGGATATTTTTTTATACCTTGTTGTTAAAATGTATAAATAATTACAAAACTGTAGGGGAATTATACTTTAAAAGTAGGCGAAACTTTTGATAATATAAGTAGCATATTCTTTTTATATATCGATGGTTATTTTGGTATATTCTTGATCTATTCAAGCTATTATATAT